AGCAGGAACATGTGTCTTCCTTGCAGAACACAAAAGAAAAGATGCACACTGAGACCACTTGACTCAAGCTAATTCTGGCTCACAGCCATAAAGATAAAACTCACATGGGTAAAAACAAGCTGCAAAAAAACTTGTTCAGGATTTGATTCCTTCCAGCTGCAAATGCCAGTCCTACAAAGTACTCTGTGAAGAGACTGCTGGGACATACTACAGCCCCTGGCTGCAACTACTGTTGTGGGAAGAGATGAGGCAGGAAGGAGGGAAGTTAAATAAAGAGAAATTTAAGATTGCTCCTTAATATCTCATCTTCCAGTAAGTCTGAGCTACATCTTGAATCCACCTTTCCTGGATTATTACTCACATTTGAAAAAGACACTGCTGGATGAAAGGGAGGCTCACCTCAGTCTGCACCATTAAGGGCCGGTGCATGCGAAGATCATACACCACTCCGTACACATCCACAGTGTTCTCCATTTCAATCTGCTGAATCAGGCGGTCGATGGCAATGAAGGTCCCCGTCCTCCCGACACCAGCACTGCAATGACACAGGGAAGCCAGTTACTGCTTTCTCTCAATCACCTGCTCACCACTGGCCTGATGAAAAGCCAGTGAAGCTCCTAAGATGCTCTCTATCATTTCAGTGGCACAGGTAATTGCAAGTCTCTGCAACCCAGAGGCCATCATCAAGGGGGAGGGAAGACGTGCTTCTGGGCTTCCCAGCCTTGCACTTACACAAGAATTGCATATAAAAGCACTTGAGAAGGCAACTTTTTCAGCTAAGTTTTCCAGGCTAGGAGAGACACTCTATTCTAATGACATTTTGTATCATTTACTTTGCTATCTGCATAGCATTGCTGAAGTTTTCTGAAGCACGGGCCAAAGGCTTTAATTCAGCAGGGTGAATAGCCCATATCCTTAAATAAAGAGACTTACCATGTTTTTTAAGATAAAAGTGTGTCTAACACAAACACGTTCTTCCTACCTGCAGTGCACCAGAGTAGGAGAGTCGATTGGATTTTGACTGCTGTACTCGTGAACAAGGTGTCTGAAGTTGATGAGAAGGTCTGTTGTCTCCGGCACTCCGTGATCTGGCCAAGAGGTGAAATGGAACTGGCGCACCGCATGGCTCTCAGGTGTGTTGGACTAGAAGAATACACATTAAAAATATAAAACCCAGGCTTCAGAGGAACAACAGTCGGGCTTCCTGCCACAGGTACTGGGCAAAGCTCAGCTTCATTAATGATGCCTGCTACAAACTGCAGTAATTTCATCAGTGATATTTCAGTTTCCCTCTTCCTTCTGCTCTGGTAGAGAATACTTTGGAGTAATTTCCTTTTACTTTTCACTTTACTCCAAGATCACCTCTGCTGCATTACATTTGTTGACAGATAATAGTGCAGTCTAGCAGGTATTTCAAGTATCTGCATAAGCACAAGTTTTGGTGCAAGTCTCAGAGAAGCACGAGCTGCAGGATCACTGATGGGGCAATCAGTAATTCCCATGAGCAGGCTGGATTTTGCTGGCAGATCCCATTCTGCCACAGGTAGGGTCCTACTGACAACTCATCCCCACCTCTGGATAGGTACTTGCACACTACTGTGGGAAGCCAGGGCATATGAACAAATGCACAGACATAAATATCACTGGACTCTTGTCGCCAGTAAATGGCATGAAAGATTTTAAATCAGACTTTTGGCAGAAAGCAGAACAATACTTTCAAAGCCTCAAGTTAAAATAAACCACTCTCAGCCTTTTTCCTCAGATAACTTTGGATTTGATTACATTTTAGTGAAATTATTATATCCTGTCACTCCAGTGTTGTTTGACATGTGAAGTCTGATAAACCACTTCCACAGATATTTGTACTGAACTAACAACTGAGGGGGTACTCACCTTTTCTACAGTGAAGTCCCTTATTGTCCATTCTGGAAGGACGATCTCCGAGACCATTGTCACAATGATGTCCCCATAGCTCTTAGATTGTTTGTCTGGCCAATATTGCTCACATTTTGTCTAAGAAGAGAGTTACAAGGTTAGACACATTACACAAAGCAACAAAGCAGCTGGCTGTTAGTTTTAAGTAACACACCACCTGAAGCAGGGCTAGGAAGCATGGCACCCTTCCCAATGGCCTGTCTCAAGGCAGGAGAAGTTCTACCAAAATCGTTTTTTTAGGGAGAAGAACCCACTCTTAAGGACAGCAATTCCACAGTCCTCCCGAGACAATCTATTCTGGTAGTCAGCAGATATCAAAAATGAGAAAAAGATAAAATAAATGGGGCTTATTTAATTTAGAAGACTGTTCCAGTAAGTGGATGGTTGTTAAAGGAAAGTGGTCAGTCTCCAACCTATTAGGGTAACAACAAAATTAGAAGAGATCCAACTGTCTTCAAGAGACAGTTCAGTTTTAGTAAAAACATACCCGGGCTTGTTCAACACATTTTGTCAACATAACAATAGAGTAGATATTCTTCTCCCAAATCATGCGCCAGAAATCTTCTATAGTATTGGGTAAAGGGCCCTGTGCAGCAATAAATGCCTTCTTTGAGTTATAGCCCTAAGAAGAATAAAAAAATCAAAATGAATATATATGCACACACTTTTGCATCAATGAGACATAAAAACCACATTTTAAACATCATTATGATCTATTAAGCCTACAACATAAAAATACACATTAATTTCATTTCAACTAACGAAGCAACTTACAGGCATATAGCTCGCATTAATATAATCATCAGTTGCAGAGTTTTGATCTGAAAGTTTAACACGAGAAATATCATCTGCAGAAAGAAAAAAGGAAAAGAAAATTATGAATTTTGGAACTAGAACCTTTCAGGAAAACACTGCTTATCTAATGCATGGTTTCTAAATAAAAGGTGTTTTAGAACAATGTGCATTTTAAGAATAAGAATGTAACTTTAGAAATCATAAACAGCAGGAGTTTAGAATTTTTTTTAATTAAAGCCTTCAGAAAACTGAGTGACCAGGATAAAAATTCAGAATCCTCACAGATTTTTTTTTTATTTTTTTTTTTTAAACATGGTTTGGTTTTGCATATTTATATATTTTTAATCCAACACAAAATTTACTAAAGTTTTAATTACTGGAGAAAAATAGGTAATTTGTCTCCTGCTGCCACTGCAGATGATGCTTTTCCTCCAAAGCATCCCTAAGCACCTGGCACTGTTCGCCTTCCAGTTCCTTCTTGCAGACAGTGTGGCAGGGCTTAGGCTCTTAGTTCAGCTGCAAAGCTGGCCAGCAGGGTCTGACTATTTCTCCTAGCTCTGCACATCTGTCCATTGAGAGTCAACCTCTTGTTTTTTCAATCTGGACTGCAAGTTTCTCACAAATGGAAGATTAAAATTAGTTCATTAGCAGAAAGTTCTTTGAGGAGCTTTCTTGAGGGGAAGTTTGGGAACTTGAAGGAACATTCTTGAGGGAAGGCTCTTTAGATTTGCTGATACAGTGATTTTTGGAAAGCAGCAACCCAAATTCATTAATTTGGAAATTGACAACATTAATCCCTCTTTGAAACTGCTGGGTACTATTGAAGCCACATTAGCCAAACCCAAGGTTTTTCACCTAAAAACTCAACCAGTAGAAGATGCAAAACCGAAGAGAGCAACTCACATGGTAAGACATTGTTGTATCTATTTTTTCCCCTGTTCTCAGCAAGTTCAGCAGCAAATTTGGGCTGATGAACACCAGCAGACTTGAGTTCCTAGAATGAAGAAGGATTCATGAGCACCTGGTGCTGGTTTAGGAATCATACAGAAACACATGACTGAAACAGACAAATACTCCAAACACTCGGCCTTTGCTGTAAAAGTAGGCGTGTTAAACAACGAGAAAAATCAGCTTTTTACAGAGTGGGAGGGTGACAGTGGCAAACCAGATAGAAAAGGGATTAATACAGAAGGTAGGAATAGTAGCGTGTTTAAAACCCAGAGACAGGCTTTAAAAAGCCCAGAAATACACGACACTGACATCAACTGCACACTCATTCTGACCCCGAGGCAATAAAGTATTTAGCATAAGCTTTGCAGACATTACAGGGAGAAAGGGTGGAAGTACATCATGAAAGGACTGAAGGAAGCAAAATCTGAGAGGAAGGCAAGGTGGAGCACCAGCCTGCAAAGTACAACCAAAGGGACAGAATTTGATCTGGAAAAGAAGAAGAAAGTCAATTAATAGCTTCTAGGAGAGGAAAAAAACCAACCAAACAAGCAAAAAAAGAGATTATTCAACAGCAGACACGACAACACAGAATCCCTACTGACACTTGATTTCTGTCTTTTGTACCTTGTAACAATTGAGCTTTAGCACATTTCCTAAAAGAAACCCAGTTATGGTCACTAAGCCAATCATAATTGCTGTCTTCTCTGACTGCTCCTTCAAGCTATTCACAGGGGTGGTTTGCAAATCACACCTACGCACTGAAGAAGTCAGTGATATTAGCAAGAGACCTGTCGTGCTGTGTAGAAAAACAAAAACAAAATTAAAAAAAACAAAGTGCAGAGAAGCTAAATAGCTTGCCTTAGGTTAACTCTGTAGTGTGACTAGGACAAGAACTCGGGAGATCCCGGCTCTGAGCAGCAGGTCATGCTATGAGGTCACTGGTAGAGATAACTGTTCAGGATGTGAAGTACTTCTCATGCATTTCAACTCAATTTGGAGCTGAGTCAGGGAAGGGAACGCTACCCGTGCAGGTCAGTAATCTCTATAGTAAAGGCCCCTTCCCCTTCAGTGAGCCTCACAGATGCTCCATCCGTAGGAAAGCTAATGTGCCTTTCCAAAAATATTTTTCATGAAGCTCTGTCCACTGACAGCACGTACCTCATACTCTTCAGCAAAACCGCAGTTGGAGTCAGCTTGCTGCTTCTTAAAGTAGGACTCAAAGTTTTCCACTTTAATCATTTTTGATCTGCAATGAGAAAAGTCATGTTATTGGTAACTGGTATGAGGTAAATAAACCATGAATTCAGTTAATGTGTTAGAAAGTGTGCTTTACTTACTTCTTGACTCTTCAGGAGAGGGTAGGGGGAAGAAAAAAAGGCTGATTAGACACATGCAGCTGTATTTTTCACTACATGAATGAATCTAAGAATGAAAGCATGACTGTTAGTAGCAGCCACAAAACTGTGCGTTTACAGGGGACAGGTATCAAGCGCAGCGTTTAACTGATCTGTTAAACCGAGGAGAAAGCAGCACATCCTTCAGGAGAAGAGTATCACAGAAGGTGTCAGTCAGTCACTTCTGTGCTCCCATCAGATTGACCCCATTCCCTGGTGTATTTTATGTTAAATATCAAAGTCAACACAGGAGGGACTTCGTGGGATGCTCTGGCCATGCATTTCCACCAGCACAAAAATTGGTGGAAGAGGAGGGACTTCGTGGGATGCTCTGGCCATGCACAAAAATTGGTGGAAGGACCAATAATCTGATTCAATTGCACTGAGACTTCCAATATATTGTGCTTACCCTCTCATGGCCAGCTTTTACAATCTCAACATTATTCCAATTAATGGCTCAGCACAAAGTAGTCATAAAGTAAAGGAAAATTCAGGCCACAGTGCAGAATTTTGCCTCTGTGCACTTTATCAACAATTTGGATTGCTTCCCCAATGTGCATGGCAGCCTGTGTTTCATTCAAACATCCTGTTTTTCAAAACTACGTGGAGCATTTGTGTCTAATAGTGATTCACAAAGCGAGCACTTGAATCCCCGTGGCAGCTCTAGAAGTCTCAATCAATATGATTATTTTTAGCCTACAGGCTGGAGTCTTTAAATTCCATGAGGAATTAATACTGCAAAATTTGATATAAAACTGCACAGAAAACAAGTATCAGGGTTCAAAGTAAGTTTTGCAAATATCACTTGAGCTCAGAAAACAAGGATATGGACTTACTTAATTGGAGAAAAGGACACTTCAGTATTTCTTTTATCTTTCCTATAAGGCAAAAGAAAACAACACGATAGGTTCACAGTAGAATTTAATGGAATGCATATGAGATTTCTGACTACAGCTATTTCCTGAGCCTGTTCAGAACAATTACTTTGAAAGCACCTCATTCTGTGCAAAGAAACCCTCCTGAGGCAAACCTTACACCTGGAGTAAGAATAAAATACTTCATTCTTCATTCAGTGTCGTGCAATGGGACTGTTCCTTTCTGTTGGGACCAGAGTATAACGCCTGAACACAAAGCCCAGTTTGACAGAAGTCGGTCTGAGGGATCTGCATCACTAGCTAACATCTCCAGGGAACTGCTGCTAATTCCAGAATCCCTGCAGCAAGCGTTCAGTGATGTGTCAGTGGTACTGAACGTGGTAGCTGAATGAAAATAAGTGTTCCTAGCTTTAAAGGAAGCTCTTCTCATTGTTCACAGCTATTGGATGTGCTTGTAAAAATAACAGCAGTTATTCAAAGAAACTAAGGAAACTGGACTAAGGGCCCTACAGCTAACTCTTTAGAAAGGATGGGCTATGGGATCAGAAGCAGGAAAAAGCCTTTGTAGACTCTTAAATCACAGATTATTTGGAAAAGACTGGAAACAGAGACCAGCTCAAACCCTAGGCAACTCATCAGCTTCTGGAAACTCCAGAATCAAAGTTTCATGTGACAGGCCATCAAGCAATTAAAAAGTGTGATTAAAAATTAAAATAAAACCATCTAAGATACAATGACATATGTATTTTAGCACAATAATCTGTGATGTTTGCTCACTTCTGACTGAATTACTTCATCAGCACGCATGAATTCAGAAGAGCTGAACAAAACAAATCTTAACTCATTAGTTTGTAACTATCGGATTAAACAAAGTCATTTAACTAGTTTGATACATCAACTCTATTCTGTAACATACAAAAAAGATTCTTGATAGAATGTATTTTAAAGTGTCATGACAGAAGTGTATAAAACAGAAGAGGCCTTTTAGGAGAAAGATACGGAAGTGAAATACTGGTGTTCTCATCACAACGAATACAGTAATGAACACACATTACCTTCTCCTTCTCCAGAAGATGAAACCCCCTATAGCGACTACAGCCACTAGAGCCAAAAGGCATCCAATAACTGCTCCTGCAATAACACCTGATAAAAGAGAACAACTATTACTCATTAATGATTGACCTCTTCAGTAATGATCTAACTCAATCAGTGTGCTACAAAAGAACTTTGCAAGTGATAGAGCACACTCTGCTCTACTAAATAACTTGTCTTTATTGTGTCCTTTGGCAGTACCAGTATTGAAAGCTCATTAAGAACAATAAACCAAGGGTGATAAATTAATAAAATTTGGGATCAAAGGACCAGTATTTGCATTCCAATACACCTGCTTCTAGTTTACCAGAACTGTTAGAACATCAGCTGCCTTTTGCTACTTATTTCTGTACCAAAGTCTCACTGTGCCATCCAATCTCTTTCAGCATGCCATCAGCAACACAGCTTTTGGTTACTTCCACAGTGGAAGTGATACATGGAAAAAAGAAGCCACCTGGAGAACTAGCAAGGTATGAATTCATAGAGCAGTGTGACTGCAAAGCTAGACAGGAACAATCCATCACAGTGAAACCAACGGGTGTTTTGCTATTATGAAACTTGTCACAATTAAGGAATCTCCACACACTGTGTATGTGCCAAGTCACCAGTCTTATATTTGACATGAAGTATACCTGGATCCTGGGGTAGCAAAACCGCCTCAGAACAGGGTGAAAACGATACGTAACTATCTTCTCCCACAATGATGTTGGCCATAGTAAAGGTTATATTAGTGAAACCTGCAACACTTGCCCTGTTGATAAGGGAGGGAAAAAACAAAACAAACAAAACAAAACAGGTCCATTACATGGTTTTAACAACCTTAAGCAAGATCTGTCATCTTTTCCTTATACGATCTTTTAGATTTCAACTGCAGCAAAATTAACCAAGCAGCAGTTTGAGATGAATACCTGTATGAACGAAGTGGAATCAATGGTCCATTTTCATAGCCATACATGGTGTTGCCCTTGCCCACGTTAACGATGTTTATATCGTTCTGAGAATGGAAAGAAGGTGATTTTGCCTGCTCTGTATCTATGACATATGTTACATAGGTGACTGTCGTCTTCTTCTTGAAATCTTTGTACGTGTTGTTCAATTTAGACTTCAAAGACTCACAACCTTCAGGAAAAAACAAAAATCCATTGATTTTATATCAATTAGTGAAGAGGCTGAGATAGTGATACAGTGTGTGACATTAACCACAGGTAGCATTACTCCATAAATACTGCCCAAAATAAAAGGCTGAGTGCAACAGAACCTCAGAAACCTCTTCCACTGCTGTACAATTTTCTGAACTACCCCCCTATACACCAATGTCACTTGTTTTAATCTCTTTTTGGTTTTACTACCATGTATAGCAGAGCTTTTCTCTAAAGGTACTTTAGTGGTGGATTCTAGTGTCCTCATGGATGACCTTCACTAGGCAGGTCAGTCATATCCATACACACTCTATCAACTCTCACATACGGAGAGTACAATGGAATCTGCTGAAAAAGTCAGTTGGTATTAGGTAACATTGTGCTACCCAAACAGCATCAAACCTCATGCAGGGTGACACTGAACTCATCCTGACCTACACTTCCTTGATGTGTCTTGCAAGAAATCTCACACTTAAAACCTAAGAGACTAAAGAGTTAATTTTGGCCTTTTCTTGATATAGACAAGCGTTGGGCAGAACAGTTTTATCTTCCAGAAGACTACGGGGTACTGCAGTCAGTGACCAACAGGACGCCATCTGCAGAACAGCATCACTTTACAGTGTCTATTGTTAGAAGATGAACCCTACAAACTTGAGGCAGGTGATACAGTTGAGGCACGTGTGACCTAAGAGGTAATAAACAAGCTCAAATTGCCGTTGTCCAACAACTCCAGAAAAAGCAAACTGATGAAAATATTCCAAGTGTTGCAGGAGGAAAAAGAATCTTGCTCATTTGACTGAAGTTTGCACTGATGTAATACATATAGATATACACATATGCCCGGGTATTTTTAGACATATATCGTATGGAAAACCACAGAATAAAGATCTACAGTCAAACTGCTGCAAGATGAATTTCCAGTGTTAGGATAAAGGATAAGCATGCGTGTCAAATCCCACTTGGGCAAAAACAACCTCCATCAGCTGCTTTATCCCTCCAGTGCACTGGCAGAAAGGAAAAGAAGTTCAACTAGAATCTCCACTGTAAAGGTACATTCCTTAATTTTACAATTTATCACTAGACATTCACCAATTAAGGATGTTTCTCTGTTTTGATGCTTTAAAGAGGTGAGTTTGATAGACTACCCTCTAGCTTTCCCTGGCATTCAACCTCCCATGGCATGTAATGCTGACCACACTATTCAAGCCTTCCACCTGCACCTCATCTCTCTTGGTTAATAACGTGTTTTAATTAAAATCAAAAGTTCTCTCCCTTTTTTTTTAAGGTTCCTACTGCACATACTTCCAGCTACAGAAGAGGGGGGTGGGAAACTTATTCTGTGGGGGAAAAAAGGATACTACATAATCTTGTGTCAAGCATCACTGGTAAATCAAGATGGCAACAGCACAGTAGCAATACATATGAGACTTATACAGCAGGATAAGTCAGGCTGGAAAAGGCTGAGTGAAAACAGTGGCTTTCTGAAAACAAGGAGTGATCTGACTTCAAGCAAGTGAGGTATTTGCCTCATCATTTTTGAAAGGTGATTGAAAATACTGAGTCAGCTTTTTCTCTGTCCATTTAACACCTCTTTAGAGTTTAAAACATAATACTGTCTGAAAAACTGTTTCACATAGCTACAAGAAAATATCTTAACGCCTTACCGTGTTCTTCTGTTGTGAGCATGACTGCATAGGCTTTTAACGGTCCATTCACTGACTCAAAATCAGAGAATTCAACAGACAACGAGCTATGACTGACTGCCTTGACTAAAGGAGCGTTGCTTGGAGCAGGTGGGTCTATAAACAGAAATATTTTTTAGTACCTTAATAACTGATAAAGAAAAGTCTTCCAAACAAGAAAGTGCTGTAATACTGATGCTGTTCATATAACGTATCTTTATTGTGTGTCACATCAAATTTTACACAAATGTCGTGTTTTATTCATAATCTGTAGGCTGATAAGGTACTGCATATCGAGTTTGCTATTCTGCAGTCATGGAGTTAGTGTTTTGGTCCTATGAGTATCTTTCTTTCTCAATTCTTAATGCTTACCAGTAATGCTTGTAGTACATATTTTCTCCACTGAAGGGCTTTCAGAACTATTTGAAACAGTTGCAATAGAAACATTATAGGTGCTGAAATAATATAAAGGTGCTGTTCTGAAAGTTTCCTCTGAGCCTTCTCTCATGCAGGATGGAGCTCGTTCTTCTTTTTCCCATGTACCTTTCCGTATTTTAATTTTGAAGGCAGAATTGTTACCAGAAGGACATTTCCACTTTAGCATTAGGGAAGACTGCTTGGCCACTGGTTCACACCCAAATGAATTCACTAAGGCAGGAACTGAAAAAAGAAGAAAAAAAAAAATAAAGAGGCTTAAGAAATCAAGTACTGTAGTAAACAGAAGCAGCTGCCTATTTGTAAGTTCTGTGTATAAAGGTTTGTAAAACTTCAGTATTCCTTTCCAGTATCAAAAAGATGAAATTACTGCCTACAAGGACTTGCTGCCCTATGAGGAAGAGAAGGATTTAGCACACTAAGTACTCAGACCTCTTCTGTGCTAACTCCTCTGCAGACAGGTTTACTGAGAAAATTTAATTTGAGTATCTGTTGAGATCAAAGTTTTCAAAACACTGTTCAACCACTGAATATACCACTCTAAGAACATTTTTAGAGTAGCTAAAATGGACACTAACTCCCTGCATAACTACATACATGGCCAACAAGTAAGAAAATGAGTATCAGCTCCATGCATTAAGAGCACAGCAGCAGCCATCCTTAAGAGTAGCAACTACAACATTTCAGTTTCTCTGAGAGTCCTACAGGACACACCATAAAAACTGCAACCTTATGACCAGATACAAAAAGATAATTTAAAAGTTAATGTAGCAGGAACACCGAGAAGAGAGATCCCTCTAAACTAAACATCTAGAACCTGACCTTCAAGACCAAAACTCTTATAACTTCTACAATTGTAACACACAGCAAATTTATTTCCTCTCTTGAGAAAAAAGCATTTGGTACTTCAAATACAGGGGTAAAAGACTCCTGGATTAAAGTATTTTGTCATTAAAAAAGAGTATTATTTAAAGAAACTAAGAAGAAGCAGACTTGTGTACCAGAAGAAACAGATTCAATTAAAAGTTAGATGTGAGTGACTGGGATTTATTTCAACTGCATTTTATAAATATTTCTTTTCCTTCAAGTAACACTGTCAGCTACTCCTACAAACACAGTGAAATTATAGAAGGTTACAGGATTTATGTCTGTAATAACAGCTCTGGTGACACTGGATGACAGACTTCTCTTTGCTGATGAGCTGAGCAGAGCAGTGTGGCTGAGAGGAGCCCAGCTGCAGCCACGGACCCCTCCAATGGGGCAAGTCCCCCAGGCACACAACACACTCTGTGTGGGAGGCCTTCAAAATAAGGACCCAAGAGCCTCATCCACAAAGAGAAGGCAAAAATACCTCACGCAGAATCCCCTTCCACACATTAAGACAGCTGACTGCAGGCAGGCTGTGTGCAGCACTTCTGCCTGAAACAACATTGTATTCCAGCCCTGGGGCAAGAAGGCAGAGCCCTGTGCTGCACAGCAAAATACAGCCCCCCAGAACAGGAATCTGAGACTTACTTGTGTACAGGCTCATGGACACGCCTCCCCCTTCCGTGTGACCATCAGCTGCCACTGCAAATACTGTGAACTCGTACATCGTCCCAGGGGTTAACTCCGTGATTTCAGTTTGGGTGACACTGGACATCAGGTTCCTAACAGAGGTACCATTCACAACCTCTATCCTGTACGTGTAGGAGTTGGAAGCAGCATCACTCACGGCCCATGTTAAGTTGACAGAAGTCACACCAACATGTTCTGCCTTGAGATTGAGAACTGGGCTGGGCTCTGTAAAAGGCAAGACAACAAACTGTCAACCTGCAAGAACATCGGCTCACACACACGGACAGAAGAAACACAGGCACAGCACTGCTCCACTCTCTTCACATCACTCACTGTTCAGAGTGCAGGAGCACCCCAACAACATCACCAGGTTCTTGGAAAGAGTTCCTTCACTGTGTCACGGGCCTTGGTGACCACCTTCAACAACTGCTAGTTCTGAGGTGTTCTGTTTTACTTTGTTTCTAAAAAGCAGGCTACGCCTCTTCCACATAGACATCTCTGACTGCAGGCGGGCAAAGCACAGCACATCTGCCTGCAACACCATTAAGTGTCAACCCTCAGGCAGGTCAGCACAGCCCTGTGACACACAGCACAGTACAGCCCAGCAGGAAGAGGTGCAAGCAACTGTGACTTACTTGTATACAGCCTTATGGACACTCCTTCTCCTTCTGTGTGACCATCAGCTGCTACTGCAAATACTGTGAAATTATACAGTGTTCCAGGAATTAACTCAGTAATTTCGACTCTGGTGACATTGGACGTCAGGTTCCTAACAGAGGTACCATTCACAACCTCTATCCTGTACGTGTAGGAGTTGGAAGCAGCATCGCTCACTGCCCATGTTAAGTTGACTTTCTCAGCACCAACGTAGTCCACCTTGAGATTGAGAACTGGGCTGGGCTCTGTGAAAGGCAAGACAACATCTGTCAACCTGCAAGAATTATCTGCTCACATATACGGACAGAAGAAACACAGGCACAGCACTGCTCCACTCTCTTCACATCACTCATCATTCAGACTGCGGGAGCACCCCAACATCATCACCAGATGCGCCTGGACACTTTTGCTTCAATGGGCAGCTAAGACAAAAATAAGAAAGAGGCATCTCAAGTGTGATTCATCTTCCTTTCACATTCAAAAGCAAGAGCACAGGTCATCATTGTGCCAGCACTCTCAGGGTTTATCACCTCCAGAGAGATGGGAAGGAAGGAGAAAAGAGCAGAGGGAAAGACTGTGGTGCATCTCTACACAGCAAAAGGTAAGGGGCATCAAATAATACTAGAAGAGGAACAGGGGTGATGACCCAGGCACCTTGCTCCTTCTCCAGCCCTCATGCCCTGAGCTCACTCCCATGGCAGAGAGACCATCTCCAAAACTCTCTCTGCAGCACCCTATTCTCTGCATCTTCAAAACGGGGCAACTAGCTTTTACAGTCACGCAGCACAGGAGACACTTCTGGGAATCAACTGGAAAGGCAGGAGCACAGATGCAGGTACACTTCAGGACATCACAAATTACAAGAACAGGCATCTGTTTCCTTTCAAATACACCCTGTGGAATGACCAGGCTGGGCTACAGCCTTGCAGGACAGCTCCAAAATGGTTCCTCCAATACAACGTCAAGACTTTTGATACTCAACACAGCGAGGTGCCGAATGGTCAAAGCAGTTCTCCTGAACTAGTGTTGCCTAAATCTCACTCTCCTGCTGCAGCCTGATGGCACCTACAGGCCCCCAGATCACAAAGCTCCCCTGGTGCGCTATGCTCTGTGTAAGATCCCCTTAAAATAAGGGGCTAAGGCCCCCATACTCTAGGAACTGAAACCAACTCCTTTCCAAATTTAGAAAATAAAATTCTCAGGGAAAAAATCTCTTCTCTGCATTGTCAGTCATGGGGACAAACTTCACCAACAGCTTTCTAACAGAGCAATGTTGCTTCTTCACTTTAACGTCACATGCTCAGCAGATCGGCCAGCTCCAGGACTAAAGCCACCTCTGCCTGCAGCAGTACTGCATTACAAGCCTCAGGCAGGTCGGCAGAGCCCTGTGCTGCACAGCAAAATACAGCCCCCAGAACAGGAATCTGAGACTTACTTGTGTACAGGCTCATGGACACGCCTCCCCCTTCCGTGTGACCATCAGCTGCCACTGCAAATACTGTGAACTCGTACATCGTCCCAGGGGTTAACTCCGTGATTTCAACTCTGGTGACACTGGACGTCAGGTTCCTAACAGAGGTACCATTCACAACCTCTATCCTGTACGTGTAGGAGTTGGAAGCAGCATCACTCACAGCCCATGTTAAGTTGACAGAAGTCACACCAACATGTTCTGCCTTGAGATTGAGAACTGGGCTGGGCTCTGTGAAAGGCAAGACAACAATCTGTCAAGACAGAAATAAAGAAAGAAGACCCACAGCCACATTTCCCTATTCCACACAGAATGAGGATTATTTGTAGCCAAGCAGCACTTCCACAGTATCAATGCCCAGTTTCAGACATTCATGCTGGGGCATCTCCCAAAAAAGGCCACAAGACTTCTGGGCGATATTCTCTTTGTTTCATTTCAGATGCTAAAATTATTTGCTTCCAGAGTGGATCCCCAGAGAAACAGACAGAAATCAGTGAAGGAAGCGGA